GAGAGGAGGGGAGACAAGGGAAGAGGAGGAGAAGGGAAGAGGAGAAGAGAAGGGGGGAGAGGAGAAGAGAGGAGAAGAGAGGAGAAGAGAAGAGAGGAGGAGATGAGGAGAAAAGAGAGAAGAGAAGAGGAGAGAAGAGAAGAGAAAAGAGGAGAAAAGAGGAGAAAAGAGAAGAGAAGAGAAGAGGAGAGAAGAGCAAGACAGGGAAGAGCAGAGGAGAGGAGAGGAGAGGGAAGAAAAGAGAAGAGCAGAGAAGAGAAGAGAAGAGCAGAGCAGAGAAGAGCAGAGAAGAGAAGAGAAGAGAAGAGCAGAGAAGAGCAGAGAAGAGAAGTGGGGTCGTGTCATCCAAAGGGGCTGTGGCTGTGCCCATTCCCCGCACTGCCAGATGAAAATTCACTGTGCGAAAAGGAAAGCAATTTCTGAACTATAAAAATTGTATAAAGTAAAAACATAAAACTTCTGCAAACAAACAAACAACAAACAATTTCCACCGCATCAAAAGGTAAACAATTTCTGAAGTAAAAAAAAACGTTAAAACTTCTGCAGATACCCTGATGCGACGTCCGACTGGGCCAGGGCGGACAAGAAAACGGCCCCCTGTGGATTTAACGTGGGCTACACACGTCCCACCTCCTTCCTTTCCTGGCCTCCGCCAACTACTGGTCGCGAAATGCCGCTTCAGCTTCGGCATTGTTTGCGGCCACCTGTCAGCTACCGGTTTTCTGCAGTGGGTAGCGGGGCGGTTTAACAGATGTTCCGAAGGATTCACTACCCTGTTCCTACTCTTTACTACACTCCAGTTTCCCCCATACAATGCTCTTCCTGCTTCACAGGTGAAGCCCAGGCCATCCTACACCAGGCCCATTCCCATGCGAATCGCCGGTCTGACTTTGGGACATATGGACTGCTGTTACGACTTTACGGTACCGCCAACCTGGACTCTGATGCAACACCAATGGATTTTTTTGGGGGGAAACTGTATCTGTAGATTCTGTACCTCATTTAAAGATGGGAATTCCTGCTATACGCAGTCCCAGCACCCAACTTACATTTATACCCAGTTTTTGTCCAACTTAAGGTAATACCCTACTTTCCCCGACGCAAAATTATACGTGTCCCCGGTCCCAGAGGCCCTTGGTTGGGGAGCACAAAACTATAATTATGCCCAGCAGTGGATGGTTGTTTTCTGACTGGTCGGTGGACCGCCGACCGGTCGGCCCCGATCGGTCGGGGCAAAACGGTCAGCGGTCGGGGTCGGCGGTCGGCGCCGGTGCAACCCTGCCCAGCAGGCAAACTTCCGTATGCACTTGGGTGACTAGGCTACTGACTAGCCCAGCCATGTAGCCGGGGCAAGTCGCCCGGGGTTCACCTGCGCTGGTAAAAACCAGCCCTCTTTCTTTTCTGCTCGGTTCTGCTCTGTTCTTCTCTGCTCTACTCTCTCCTCTTCTCTTCTCTCCTCTCTCCTATCCTATCTTATCCTCTCCTCTCCTCTCCTCTTTTCTCCTCTCTTCTCTCCTCTCTCCTATCCTATCCTATCCTATCCTATCCTATCCTATCCTATCCTCTTTTCTCCTTTCTCCTCTCCTCTTCTCTTCTCTCCTCCTCTTCTCTCCTCCTCTGCTTTTCGCCTCCTCTGTTCTCCTCCTCTCCTCTCCTCTCCTCTCCTCTCCTCTGCTCTGCTCCTCTACTCTTCTTTTCTCTTCTCTTCCCTTCTCTGCTCTGCTCTGCTCTGCTCTGCTCTCCCCTAAATCAAGAAATGGTCCAAATTTATTATAATAAAAAAAAAAGTAACAGGGGCAGTGATTAACACGAAACATAGGGATTCCTAGCTTCAGGTCATTCCGTCCATGGCCTCTGTTCCAGGTCCATCCATGGTCTCTTTCCTAGATAGAATTCTGGCTTCTGGTCCCGGTTCTGTTCCTAGCTCTTAGTTCCAGTTTTGGGCAGTGCAATGACCCTCCATAACACAAACTGAGAACACTGCTGATTTCTGAGTTCTGCCGATGGAATGGATGCTTCGATGAGATTCCCGCATTCTGCTGAGTTTTCTAAGTCTGTGTGTGTGTGTGCGTGCTTGGTGACCTGCGTGCCT